TTAAAAAAAAAAAAAAAAAAAAAACAAAAAAAAAAAAGAACATGAAAATTTTTTATAGCAGCAGTGAAAAAAAAGTATGTTTGTTGTTTAGAAATGATGGCAACGATAATGGCGATGACGATGATGACAAAGATTTGTTATGGATCAGTGTTCATTATGTTTGGCTGACTTTCAGTGACATTTTCAATTTTAAAAACTGAAGTGGTACTCGATAAAACAATTGAAATTTAGCTGCAAAAGCAGATTTTGACCTCGTATGGCTTCTTATGTTTCCTAATAAAAATTTTTTTAATATAAGTTTGATAATGAATTTAGCAGTTTTTATATTTGAGCATAGTAATTCCACTAAATGAGATATTAACAATTTTTTTTGATGAGCTTAAATTGTCTATTTGTGATAATACATCACAGTGTTATCATACAATTTAACGCGTCAGTTTTTTTGGCTTACAAAACATATCGTTTAAAACTGCTTAAAATAGTCGGCGGAAAACGAAAATTAATACAAAACAAATTTTTAGTTGTAAAGTGAGATTACTCGACTTTTTTCCTTTATTTTATTTTATTTTTTTCATAATCAAAGTACATTGAATATGCATATAATTTTCGTGTTGAAAAGGCGTATTGAAAATGAGGGGTAGCGGACAGCGGAGATCCACAGTATAGATAAAATGAAAATTTTTTTTCAAGAAAAGATGCTGTCTTTCCAATTTCTGTTTTTTAACATATAACTGCTACTGCAAATTTTTTTTCTAACCTATAATTCAAAATCATTTTTGAATGAACAGTACATAACAATGTATATCTATCTGCAGCTAAAACAGTCTTTTTAGACTGTTACTGAAAAAATAATTAAAAAAAAAACAAAAGCCTGTTTGTGAACATTATGAAAGAAGTGGTAATATTGAGCAGTAACATTGATGATTGATTTATACTTTATTCTTTCACTGAGTGCATACAATTTTTATAATGCCCTAAAGTACTACCTACGAATTTGGCAGTGTAATACACTAGCAGTAAACAGAAATAACGGTTTATTTGAATAATAACAGACTATAACTACTGATGGTCAGAGACGATCTACTGATTTCATTTCTTTCCATAGGGATTGGCGTAATTTTGACGAACTCCCTCATAAGGCCTATATGTTGGCGGTTGAATATACTGCTCATATGGACCCATGGGACCACCATACACGTTAGGCGTTTGCGAATAAATGTCTGCAGTCTGAGATGAACCATAAGGGTTAGGACGCGGATACACATATTCGTCTTTAGGTTCTGTGTAAGGCCGAGGTCTCGAAACTGCAAAGCTTGGAAAAGGCTCTGGACGATTGTATGGTGGTGGCGTCGGTCTTCTAACCGTAGCAGTTCTCGTTGTGGGACGATCGACACCAATGCTTCGTCTTGGGCACGGACAGTACAAAGCATCAAAGCCGGCAATTGCTGGTGGTCCTGGTTCTCCTGGCACTCCTGGTAGTCCTGGTTTCCCAATCTCACCCATATCTCCCGGGGGCCCTGGCTTTCCTACAGAATTATTTTTGATTTATTGGTGGCAAGAAGATATTCAGCAGTAGAATATCGTTCTTAATAATTCCAAGAAATGAGTCACATGTTAAATTCGTATACAGAATGAATGTCCAATCTATTATCTTATAGGTCTCGTACTTCCAGTAACCAATATAAAATTTGTTTGAAAAATACTATGAAACCAAAACTACCATCACTTCCTGGTTTTCCGTCAACTCCAAGAGGACCTCTTGGACCAGCTATTCCAGGAATTCCTGGACTGCCCTGCGCGCCAGGTGGTCCTTTTTCTCCTTTAACGCCATCTTCTCCCTTTGGTCCTGCATCTCCAGGTCGACCAGGCAATCCAGTTACTCCCGGTTCTCCGGTTTCACCTATCAAGTAATCAAAAATATAATTTTTTGCATGCATTTGCTTACAGAAATTAGTAATATTTCAGAATAGTTCATATACGCTCGAAACAGGTCATTACGTGCGACACTAATTTGAAATACCTATAGGGCCTTGAGGACCAGGCAGCCCCGTTAATCCCGGTGGTCCAGGCAGACCGTCTTCTCCTGGCGGGCCCGCAATTCCAGGACTACCGAGAGGCCCAGGTGGGCCTTTTGGACACACGCGACATTTTAGTTCCTGCAAATCACTTCTTCAAGGCTTTTGTTTGCTTTATCATATTAATGACAACTAATCACCATTATTCTAGGGTAATGAGAAACTGTTTCGGAGTAAATCGACTAAATAACTTTTATTTGAATATGCTTGCTTTTCTTTGAACATAAAAGCTACTGAACTTAATTAAAAAAGCATAGGAAATTTTACTGATTAAGTTCTATATTCGAGTGAGAAATACGTGCGAAATATAGCAGTAGTTCTGAAAAAAACTTTTAAAACAAACCGGATTTATTTCGACTTGAGGAATGGTTCCTGGCAATCCTGGGAATCCCGGCAGACCATCTGAACCCGGCAACCCGTCTAGGCCCTCAAAATAATAGAATTGTTAACAAAAAAAAGTAATAACTTTTTTAGATTTAACAAGTTTATATTTCAAATATGACTTTTTCTTACAATATTAGTGCAAAAATACAAAGCTAGAAAAATTAAAGTTTGATATACAGTTAAGAAGAAAAATAGTTGTCTAGTTGATTGTTGGCTAGATAACAACAAAATAAATTACCGGTTCGCCTGGTGGCCCTGGAGGTCCCGGTGGACAGTTGTTGTTGACATCACACTCTGTAGAAATAATATTTAAATAGTTAGCTCAGTATTAGTCTTTAAATCTTACAACATGTCCTGAAGTGGTAAAACTGTAATAAAAGTCAATGCAGCAACTGCCTATAAGATTCTTATCCTAGCTACAGAAAAGTTCTAAAACTTTTACAGTAAAAATATTGTTCATACCTCAAAACGTTAACTGATATTTGATACTAAAAGTTTATACCACTAAATTGTTGAATAGTATTATTTGTGATGATTAATAGCGCAAAAGTTTCACTATACGAATCAACAAACTGAACTTATCGCACGTCTTCATAACATCAATAAACACTTATAGCTGAACTTGAAGTACTTCTAGTTTCCAAGTGAATCTGGTAGGAAAAAAAAGGCACTCACCGCATTTAGGAGAACTAGCACTCTCTCGCAGCCTACGAAGTGTAGCAAACTTTCTGATAAATCTTTCGCGCTAAAGTAAAAGTTTGTCATTTTTAGAAAATGAAATAAGAAGAACCAGTGAAGTGTTTTAGGTGTGTTGTAGGTGCCTCAATAAAGAAAAAAAAAGAAGAAAAAAGTGCAAAGAAAAAGAGGAATAAAACGTTACCATTGTTTCCCTTTTATATCTGATCTGTTTCAAAGCAGTAAGTTGATTCCAAGCTTCGTCTGCTGTTATCCGAAATAAGTCCATATCGTTTTTCACCTAATACTTATATTGTAATTACTATCATAAAAAATTTTTGTTTTTCTTTCTCCGAACCAAAATTGTTCTTTGCAAAAAAAAAAAAGAAAAAAAAAAGAACACTTTCAAAATTAATATTTGTTTAGTGGAAAACAGGAAAAGCTGCATGATACCTTTTTTTTCCTTGTTTTTCAAGTATTTTTTCCAAATAAATGTCGAGTGACGACTGGAAAAGTTTAGTCAAACGAAGAAAAAGGAAAACACAACTGATTTCTTTTACTTGAAAAAAAAAAAAAAAAAAAAAAAA